AGCTTCTCTTATGACTACATGCTTGCACTTGTATGAGGTATATTTCTAAAGGTTATTGTTCATACTCATACTGCAAGGCTGATCATAGATGGCAGGCAGCACATTCTCAAGGCTGAATGGAGAACTCTACCAGGTCTGTCCCATGTGCTCAAAATGCACCTCCCACTGGTCTATACTACTTTTGCTCTTAAAAATTTTTGTGGTGCTAGGCATCAGACTCAGTGACTCTGTCTGCTTTCTATTGCTGTGATTAAACACTGACCTAATGCAGCTTGAGGAGGCAAGAGTCACTGTCCATTGACAGAAGCCAAGGTATAAACTCAAGGCAGAAACTGGGATGCAAGAACTGAAACAGAGACCATGGAAGAATGCTGTTTACTGACTTTTCTTTCACTCATGACTTGTTCAGCCATATTTCTTTTTTTTTATATTTTATTTTCCAGTTTAAATTTAGATAAGAAACAAGGTTGCTTCACAAGTCAGTTCCAAGTTCCTCTCCCTTTCCCTCCCCTCCTCCTGTGCCCTCCCCCCAACCCCCCCCGTTATTCCCTCATTCCCCCAGGGAGGGTGAGGCCCTCCATGGGGGTGTCCATAGTCTGTCATTTCATATAGGGCAGGGCCTAGACCCTTCCCCAAGAGTTCAGGGTGAGAGTGCACCTCACATTGTTCTATGGGAGTCCAAAGTCCGTGTGTATACTTGGGATGGGTACTGATCTGCTGCCCAAGGCTCAATAGATTACCTAGGCCTCCTCACTGACACCCAGATTCAGGGAATCCAGCATGGGACAGATCAAGATCAGCCATATTTCTTAAGCAACTCAGAACCACCTACCCAGGAATGGCGCTGCACCCCAGTGCCACACTCTGGGCTGGGATCTTCCCACATCCAATCAAGAATATGTTCTACAGACTTGCTTAGAGGCAATTTTATGGAGGCATTTTATCAATGAGATTGTTATCAACTGAGATTCCCTTTTCTCAGATAACTCCAGTTTATGTCAAAATGACAAAATACCAGCCAGGATACTCAGAAAAATCATACATTTTAGGTAAGTGAGTGACTTCAATATTTCTTTTGTTTTCTTCTTTCTACCAGAAGACAACTTCAACCATATGTTAATCTGTTTTTGTATGCCTTTTAAACCTTTTATTCTTTTAATAAGAATAGCCTAGCATGGATTATCTGCAGGTGTAATTCATATGGTGGCATAATAAGATGGTTTAATAGTAATGCCATTCATGAAGAGTGTATTGAATGGAGATGCACAGAGTCAGCTCCTAATGTTTCTTCTTAATGGATGAATTCATTGCAACTGAGATTCTAGGGGATTTTCTTTTTAATAAATAGGACTTAGATAGCCTGTTCATTATTCTAGCTGAGTGACAGGGAACACAGGTGTAGTGCATAGAAACAGCTGGTGAAAAGATAGCCAGAGGCCCCACAGTGAGCAGAGGCACATGCTTAAAGCATGGGAATAGCCAGCTGTGCCGTGTATCTTCCACATCCCTAGAAATATTACAGAAAGCATGTAGAGTCACACTGAGCACGATGCACAAGCAGTCAGGTTTTTATGGGTAGCAGCACAAAGCTCAGGGTCCTGGGTTAGCAGACTAGCCCAGAACAGATATAACTTCCACATAAGCCACAGCTGGATGGCCACTTTCAGTATGAAGTGTTGCTGTGATTTGAATGTGTTCTAAGAAAGTTCATGGACTGGAAACTTAATCCTCAGATTCATTTGTTGATGATACTTGGAGAAAGTGCTTTAGGGAGATAACTAGGGTTGGATAAGGTCATGAGACTGCCATGGGACCAATGATTTTTATAAGAGGAGAGGCAAGCTAAGAGGCTGCCTGGGACTAGTCATGTGATGACCTTGTCACACGAAGACACAATGAAAAGGCCCACCGCTGAAGCTGGCACCTTCACCTTAGACTTGCCGGCCACTTAAATGGCGATAAATAAGCATATTTTTAAAATGAATTGATTAATGGGGGACTGGAATGGGAGGATTACGTCAGGAGGGAGAGGGGAGAAGGACAAGAGGGAGGAAATATAAAATTAAGGACCATTTGAAGGGGTAGTATGGAAACTTAATACAACAGAACCTACATAAAATATGAAGGTAACCTAATTGAAATAGCCAAATAACTGGGAGACAGAGCCCCAACTGCCATCTCTTGTCACAAAATGAAGCTTTCAGTACCAGGATTGGGTTATATCCAGTTGGATTATTGGCCAAAGGGTCCCATGGGAATTCCCAAACAACATAACTGTTGCCAAGATATAGGTTGATTTTCAAAAACTGATAGCAAGGCCCCATTGCTGAAGACTCATTGGACATGGAGAATTAGAGCTATTGCCTACATAGAGCTTTCACTCCTACATTATAGTATCCTTGGTACAGGAAGGTACTTTGCACACTACCAATGGAGAAACATAAATGTCAAACCAGCCACAAACCCTTTGATCTTCAATGGTGTCCTGCCTGTAAGACATACTACAGCAATTGTGGCACAAACTTGTGGGAGTAACCAACTAATATCTGATTTGACTTTAGACCCATTCCATGAGATGGAACCCACACCTGACATTGCTTTGGTGACCAAGAACATGAGACTAGATAACCCATGGACCTCGGGTAAAACAAAGTCCTACTGAAAAACAAGCAACAACAAACAGAAGAAGTAGCAATAACATGAATAACATGACTCCTAACTACATTCTGCTATACTCATAGATGATGGCCTCCTTGTTCAGTCATCAGTAGAGAAGCTTTCTCCTGCAGCAGATGGGAACAAATATAGAGAACCACAGCTAGACTTTAAGCAGAGAGTGAGAAACCTTGGAACATTAAGCCCTAAATGGGATGTCTGCATCAAATCCCTCTCCTTGGGGCACAGGGAACCCTGTGGAAGAAGAAGCAAAAAGCTTGTAAGAGTAGAAGGGGATGGAGAATACCAAGAAAACAAGTCCCTCTAAAGCAACATGATCACAGCTCATATGCACTCAGAGACTGAGGCAACATGTACATGGCCTACATGGATATGCACCAGATAGGGTCCTATAGCTGAAAGGAGTAGTAGACACATGACCCTAACTCTAACTCAAATACTATCCCCAACTGATAACTATTTGCAAATTAAAATGTAGCATTCTTCTAGGAAGTCTCATTGGTGAAACTATATTCTTATATATTCTTAAGGATAGACGGCATGTACAGAACTAGATGACCAATAGCAAATGAATTCAATGGCAAATTATTTGGAGGTTCCTTATCTTATTATGTGTCAGGACTTGCTCTTCCTTTCTATCTTTTTTTTTTCTTTTTTAAAAATAAATTTTGTCTATTTTTATTTTGTTTATATATTTTCTCTTAGAAATCATGTACTCCTTCAGCCCACCTTCAGGAATTCAACTCTAACAGGTTTATCATCATCAGTTACCAAATGCCTTTTAAAAGGTCCCCTCCATCACAGACCATGCTCTTGTTCTTTTGCTCTTCTGTCTCTCTCTCTTTATCCTACTTCAAGAAAGCCTTTACCCACCTTCCCTACCCCCCTGCAATAAATCTCTCGCATGAGATCCATTGCACGGTGTGATCTCTGCAGCATTCCTTGGCCCCAAACAGCCATGGTATTACCACAATTTAATCCTAACAGTTACCTCTTATTAACCCTACTTACTAATTAGTAGAATATTTTATATGTATGACAAGAACTAACTTAAAAAATAGTTAAGTTTGACAAGGAAACATAATTTGAAAGCACAGCTCTGCTTTCCTTATATTCACAGACAGGTCCTTCAGAATTATGACTGTGTTTTCTTAAAAGTTGGTTATATTTCTTGTTCTCTTTTCTATCCATTTTATGACCCACTCTCTTTTGGAGCCTGAGCTCCTTCCTCTGTATCCCAAAAGGCTATGGATAGTTTTCATGAGCACTTTCCTACTGATCCCAGTAGCTCTGTGACAAACCTGCCATTGGCACATCTACCTTGTGTTGTTGTTAGATTCCCTTTGTGTCATCTACACTATTGATTGTAATTGACTTCAAGCAAGGACACATATCATTCATCATGAAAACTCCTGTGGTATACATGCCTAATTTAAGATAAGTATTTAATGAGTATCTTAAAAATGAATGAGTACAGGTGATAAACCTTATTTATGGGATGGGATGTTCTTTGTCAAATAGAAAACAATACCTGTTAAAACTATAAATGTCAGACTTTTGGGTGTTACGCTGTTTGCAGCTTTGGGCAAACTAGATCTGTTCATACTTATCTTCTTATCATTACCACAGTCTGACTTCTGGTTCTGTCTGGCTCTCTGCTGCTATTGCCTGAGCTGGAGAGGGCTGGTCATGTCCTGCCATTACTCTTCCCTCTCTTCTACTACACAAGGAAGGGACTTGTCTACTTACTATATCCCTTATTCTTATTGCCAATTGCAAACATTAGCACACTAGGAGAGATGTTACCTCTCATATAGAAGTGTTTGCAAACCTCCATAGCATACTAGGTATCCCTTCTTGGTGTAGTCCTGGGATATACACTTTGGGTTGTCACTCACCATCCATCACTCATAGAAAACTGATTTATTGAGTCATGACCTGTGCTCAAATCTACAGCACTGAAGCCAGGATAATTAACAGACCCCATTAATAGCAATTTAATTTTATCCATTATTTTTCTTACTGTTAGTTTCTTGAATCAAATGTGGAATCAGAAAAATTCACTGATGTGTTTGAATATTTTCCATCAGATGTAAATTGAAACCCCCAACAGGAACATTCCCTCTTTCGTGTAGACCATACCCTGTTGTAGTGTCTGGACCACGTCAGTGGTCATTGGTGGTTTAGAAGCAACTTGAAATGATTCTCATTTCAATGCTGTGGGAGCAAGCTCCATCTCCTGTTCTCTCTTTGTGCAGGTAAGCTGCCATGAATGAGTGTGCAGTGTATGAGTGTACAAACAGTGTGTGAGTGTGAAAACATACCCACTAGTGGAGTCCAGAAATCCAGTGACACCAGAGAGTTGGGGCCAGTTGAGCTCATCGGTCAGGGCTGATGGCAAGTTAAAGAAGGATTTCTAAAGGAAAGAAATAATAAAGTAGTAATTAGCAAATGGTCAGTTGTTTTGTGCTGATGCTGAGAACAACCACAGCGTAAGCCTGGTTTTCTCTGTCTGTCTTCCCAAGCCTTTGGTATTTAAAGAAGATGGCTCAGCTTTGATCGTCACCTGAGAGTTCACAAGAGCAGAATCACTGGCTTCCATCATTATTGTTATACAAGAGGAATACACAGAGTCTCACACATTGGAGAGGGATGTGTTGAGACAGGCAAACTCCAATTCTGAAGTATTCTGAGATCTGCATCTTTCAGTTGACAATATTAATCAATTGACTGCTTAAAAAATGATTGCCCTGAGAAATAATACTGAAAGTCAAGCAAGAAGTCCCTTAGTTAACAAGGTGGGGCCTCTGACGCTGGAAGTCTGAAGCACTTCTGAGAATCAGACTGTGGTTTCTTTCCCCATAAATATGCGGCTATATCCACTATGACCAACGGTGGTAACTGCAAACAAAATGTTCTGCCTTTTCCATCAGAGGGTTAAATAAGACAAAACTCCACTTTAAAAATTATAAAGAAACCACTCAGCAAATTCCTCTAGGGTCAGCACATTTTGAAATCAAAATATGTGCTCAAGGTTGCATCTCATTCTCAAAAGTTGTTCTTGGCTTATCATCTGCTCCTGTTTGAGTTGGTCAATCACACGAGAGTGTAAGGTCAAGCTCTGACCACCCAGAGTGAGGCACAGGGCCTCTCTGCATTAGGAAGAAAAGCATGGAAGGCCTGATGCTGGGTGCATTTGTCTGCTTGATTTGGCATGGCCACACACCCTTCAGCAAAAATGAAACTTTTCCCTTGCAAAAATTCTTTGGATTTTGTAGTCATTTTTTGGTACCTAAGATCTGTTCTAACACTATCATCTCTGAAGATTTGCATACCTGCTGTGGTGTGACTATGGTGTGTAACCTCTGAAATTCCTATTAGAATTTAATTCCCTGTGTGAGGCATTCAGAGAACAAACATAACTGGACATTTGAGGAGACAATTAGGGTTAGATAAGGTCACTAGGGTAGAAATCCATGATTTAATGCTATCAGCTTTATAAGTAGAGGCACACATACATATGCTCAGTCACCATGTGACGTTTCATTGCCAGCATGGGGACATTACTACATGTAACCCCCAGACCTTGAATCTGCAGAATCAGAAGCTAAAGCAAACTTCTTTAGAGTTTACCTAGTCTGTAGTATATTATTTTTAGCAATAGAAAACTGACCTCTTAGCAACAGAAAAACGTCCCCTTTGTGACTATTGCAAAATGTTTAGAGCCTGTGGCCTGGATCGTTGTTCCATTAATGTTCATTTCAATCACAGTTCTAAGGCTGGTATGAACTTGTGGAAGAAAACCGTGCTCAGCTATGACTGCTTATTGCTCCTTTTAAAAATGTCTCCTAGCACAAACCCTTCTAGGGTCCTAATTTCTCAAAGGGGCTTACCTAAACAGATGTGTTGGGAAGCCCTCTGTTATGTCGAATGATTTGTCAAAATTAGCTACATAGCTAACAGGTGTTCAAGTATAGCCATGATCCTCCTGTCTTGCTTTGCATCTTTCCCCCATCCTGACTTTTACCTCAAGGTTGTTGCTAGCTTAGGGGGCTGGAAGAGGGAGGTCATGGCCAGGAAGGATGGCTTCCTGAGGTACACCTGCACTGACTGGGAGTTACCTCCTTCAGAGGAACAGAAATGTGCTCTTTGAAAAGAGGCTCTTAGAATATCTCAGAGGAGCATGAATCCATGACTGACACTTTGTCACCCTTGGTGCTTCCCACTCACATTTTGTAAACTCCTCTCCTACCAGGACTCTGCTACTTCACACTGTGGCTTCTATCGTGTCTGCCTCTGTGGGGGCAAGCCTTCCTCTGTCTGGTTTGCTTCCCCCTTATATCTTTTTGCTTACAATGCATGTTTGCTGTAGGATTTGAGAATATTCAATTCTGCTAGAGGAGACAAGGAAAGCAAACAGAGTGGGTAAAACTCATAAGCCACATTAAGGAGATGTATGAGTAAGCAAATGACTTGCGAGATGTAGGCAGAGTTTATGAGCTGGTTCCCTGTAAGATGTGTTAAAAGTTAAGAGAAGGATTCATTCCTCCCCCGCCCTCCCCTCACCCTTTTCTCTGTCCATAAAAGGGAGAGTCTGACTTGGAAATCAAGATGGAACCAGATTTTGTGGTCTGATGAGGCGGCTCTTTCTTCTACAGAAAGGAATGGGACAAGAACTCTTCTAACATGGGGAGACCTGCCTAGTACTCTGTCTTACATTAACAGTGGAGGAAAGGGGCATTCTGAAAAAAGTAGCAAGGGAAGGGCTTCACTCTGGGAATCAAATTGATGTCCAGCTCTACAAAGGCAACACACTCTATGATTTCAATACAGCACCTCGAGACAAGGCTTCCATACTCTCTATGCAGCCACTGGTCTGTCAAGTGATGGGGAAGACAACATGTTGAGGGCAGTGTGGGAAAGGTGAGGAAATGGCAGGTAATAGTGTCTTTGGAGTTGTGATCTTCAAGCCCCCAGCATTCTTTCAACTCATTTCTCTGGAGAACTGGGTCTCATTTCCTTGGGTCATTCCTGAAATCCTTGCAAGCATCCAGGAAACCCAAGCTGCTCTACTACCATTTCTGTTAATTAGCATTTAAGCTGTTGTGGACAGCAGCCAATGCTGAGCTGCAGCTGGGGCCCTAGTGAGTTTGCATTTCCATGGCTGGCCTTGAAAGACTTGGGCAGACCAGATGCATACATTTAACCCCAGTGATTTGGATAACTTCAGAATAGCACAGAGCTGTGTTTCCCTCGTTGAATGTTTTAGATTTCACTCGTGGTATTTTGGCAAAGCCTGACATTTCTGGAAGAAGCTTGTCAGGGAAGATAGAGTTCTAGCACTTCCTTAGGTTCAGTGTTGTCTGACTCTAGGGGGCTTTGGGAAAAAAATCTGAAAACAGTAAGGAATGGGGTAGCCAGTTGGGAGACCAACACAGCACAGAGCATGCGCTTAGGTTGGGCCACCCCTTTCTAAGAGGATTGTTCCAGGCTTCAAGGAATGTAGTTGATTGTCAGATAACAGAAATGACTTAAGTAGTCCCACAGCAGGGTCCACAGATCCCCACTCCCACCTTCCTTAGTAAACTTGGTAAATAAAAATGAAAAGCAGCAGCCATTAATAACACATGTGCGGAAATCCTTAACAAAAGGAGAGCATTTAGATCATAACAAACACTAAAAACCACGTTCATGCAACATTATACCAAAGGCATTTCCAGCAAGAGAAACGCAAATGGAGATTTCCCTCATCAACTCCTGTTTATTCCTCTTATGCATTCATGTCCTCAAAAGTCTCCTAAATGTATCTTAAATGCACAAACGTGGAAAGACTATATTTACCAAGAAAAATTTCCAGTTAAAAGAATTTGTGTTGTCAGGCTGACTAGTACATTGCTTTGAATTTTCCTCTGGATTTTCCAATGACATGACTGAATTTTGTGTCATAATTGACATATGTATACTACTTTTTGCAGCAGTTTCATTTAAGGTTGTTCTCGCTATGTGTTTTAATATATTGAGAAAATCACTGCTTTTATTTTTAATAGCCTTGAGGAAAACATAATAATTTGGACTCATGACTAGTTTTTAGAGAGTAATTTATACTTGTTCTTTGATAATCTCATAAATGTATACAATGTTTCCTCATAGTCTCCAACCCAGTCACCCCTGATTTATGAGTTTGAAGTTATCATGTTAGCAATCTGGTATTGGCTTCCTTTGAAACTCTGTTAAGTGAGAAAAAGAACAATGACATCAACCACATATCATCTGGGTCAGTCAGTCTTCCAACAACAAAGGAAGTTCTATGGTAGCATTAGTTTGTCCTTTCTATCCTACAATAGTGTAGACAATTTTCACAGAGTAGTTTCTTTCCTAACATACACAACTTGCTTAGAAGTGAACTGATTGTTTTCAGACAGTACAAATGTCATATGAAGGTATATGTGGGTAACCATTATCATAAAACAATATGAAAAATACCAGTTAAATAAACCGTTTATACTCAATGACCAGGAATTGAACTGTTGAAGACTACAATGAGGAATTCTTGGTTTATAAAGAAAGAAGTAGTTGTTGAGTTTGTTCCTCAAGGCTGAAGAATCAGAAACAAAAAGTCTGTGGGATGCAGATGTCCCAGCTCCACTGGCCTGCAGTTCCTTCACCATACTGCAGGTGGTGCATGTGAGCTTCTTATCTTTCTAAAGGCCTTTCAGTTCCTGAGTATCACCTTGTTGCCAGTTGACTGTTAAGTCCTCCATCCATGTCATTACCCGCATGTCTTTTCTTACTCAAACATCAAATTATCCAATTTAAAGAGCTCTCTTGACCTTCTTGCACATTTCCCTGCCATGGTCCCATTCCTTTAGGCTTTGCTACATGAATGAAGTCTGTAACTAGATGGTACCCATTGGTGAACATGCTAGAATTCACTGTTTTCTAGGTAATGTTTGTATTTTTCAGGCAGAATAAGTAACTAACATGGAATTCCTCTTACATGCCAGGCATGGAGACAGAAAACATGCACAAGCTGTTTAGCTTAATAACAGAACACCTTTTTTCCTCCTTCCTTTTTTGCCATCTTCTAGAACTCAGTGGGATCTGTTGGTGCATAGCTGTAACCCAGGCACAATGATGGTGAGTTTAAGTAAAAATGAAAAGACAGAGAACTTTGCGAACACAAAGTGTCCAGTGCTCAATATTCCCTTCTGAAAAGGAGCCTAGACATCACCCTCAACCATACAGCAGTAAATTGATGTCCAGCCACTAGCCCAGAGAGAAGTGTGGGAAGGGTCCCTTTCTACCTTGGTTCCTACGGCTGCTAGTGTGGTCCTTGGAGGATTTCTGTATCCCTTTTTGCAGAAAAATCCCTTATACCATGTGGTCTAAGTCAGGCAAGGGCTCAATTGAACAAGA